TTGGATTATGAATTTAAATCAGTATGGATTCCATTGGTATCAGCTGCTGGCTGCTTTATCAGAAAAGGTGCTGCTCACAATTGTCTTTTCGTTGTCTCATTAGGAATAAATCCGCCTCTCATTTGGAGATTACTAAATTCTGATCTGTTCCCAATCTTAGGAGAAATATGAAGCAGGAGTTCTTCGCTTTGCTCATTGGCTTCTCAGAGGTTTCTCAGCTCTGAGTACAGATAAATACAGAGTGGAGACTAAATTCAATCACTGAGACAAATCTGTGAAATTGTGCAGGCTTGTTTATAAGCCAACCAAATTTTCTTTGGGATCTTATTGTTATCTCATGAGCAGATTATTTCAGACAAATAAAGAATACTGCGGTGAGAAAGGAAAAATAGTGTCTTAAGATCATACATTAGGATCAGGCTGAGACAAGAGGGAGGATATTTCTCAGGAGCTGAATTTAAGAAGTATGAGAAAACTGATGTTACACTGAGCTCAGTTATGTCTAGGCATAATAGGCTAGACAAAGAAGAGATCTTATTTTGAATTTTACTTTCCTCTGGGTGTGTTCATACGTTGCACTGACTTAGGTCCATTTCTTGTGTGACCCTTTTAAATCTCTTCTACTTGTTCTGTAAATAAACTGCATCTCTGCAAACTGTGCACTTCATTATGATAAACTGTGTGGGAAAAGAGTGCAGAAACATGTATTTTATCTGGCACTCCACCGCTGGATTATTTATTACCATTCCCATCAGCAGTGCACAGCGTAGGCTCAAGCTGTCACCAAAGAAAGTTGGTCCCCACATTATATAGCACATGATGTACTCTGAGTTAGTATGCTACGGTGAAAAAGTCCCCATGTGGTCAACTCGATTTCCTTTGTGCGGTAAATAAATATTATCTTTAAAGAAATGGCACACGTGTCAGCTACACCATGTGTCATGTTGTTATTCAAAGCCATCTTTCAAATCAGCTCGGGCTTCCTGTCTTTCACAGTGTGCTTTTTAAATTCAGCCTGTGTGTCACTTTGTTTGTAGTCCAAACAAAGACTCATCTCTTCCTCGTGCGCTAATATCTATCCATCCCAAAAGTTACAGCCAGTAGGCAATTTGAGGGGGCGGGGGCATCCCTCTTTGTCTGCAAAATGACCAAAGTGAGACCTTTTTAGCCTGCCATCCCTCGGCATCTGGGTCCAGCAGACACAGAGGAGATTCTTATCTTATGATGTCAGTACTGTTTTTGCACTCCAAACATTACCCACAATATACCACATTACATAATGACCCTAGTAGGCCGCAGTCATACATGACAGAGCCTATTGGCCTTCTAAACTAGAAGTGCATGCTGTGCTCCATGGGCTATCCTGCAATGAAAAACACAAAAAACCTGGGAGAGACTTTTATTTTGTAGCTAGAAGAGTACATACATACATACATACACAATTAGCAATGGACTTTACTCTGCAATATTCACAATCTGGATTAGTTGAAGGTTTTTTTTTTTTAAGATTATTTTTCTGGGCTTTTTGCCTTTATTGACAGGACAGAGAGTGAAATGGGGAGACAGAGAGAGAGAGTGGGGACTGACATGCAGCAAAGGGCCGCAAGCTGGATTTGAGCCCGCGGCCGCTGCAGCGAGGCCTCTGTACATGGGGCGCCAGCACTATCCACTACGCTACCGACGCCCCGATTAGTTGAAGGTTTGATCCAGATAAAAACCAAGACTGGGTTACATGATCCAACCTGATTTCAGAATCCAATCTAATAACCAAAATCTGATCAGGCTACTTCTGAACAACTTGGCTTATGTGACTTGATGTCAATGTAATATACAAGTGCTACTCTGGCTTCTGTCTTGACAATAGGCTCGTTTTTATAGTTTGTCAGGAGACTTACAACGCTATACAGCTGATTAATGTTTCCAGAAAGCTAGAGTGGAATCTCAGTATCAAAGAACTTGTGTCCCTACATCGGAATATGAGACACTCCATATGCACCCTGAGCTGTGCAATGGCCTGGGTGTCTCCGACCTCACCGGCAGACATCTGGGATCTACCAGAGAGAAATGCCAGCCTATAGATCTTACACGGCACAAAGTCCTCAACAAGTAAACCTCGGTCGACCATGGTGGCCATCCCAGGTCTCAAAGGGAGACAATGTGACCGCCCCATGAGGAGTAACACCAAGCAGCCCTTTGAGAGCACAGTGGGATTTGAATGCAGATTTAAATGCAGAAAACACTTCACTTTGGAGAAGAGGTGAAGATGGATACTGGCGCCCCAGCTCAGTGCAGTCCAGGATGACTGTAGTGTCTGCATAGTCCTTGAACTCTGCTGGCAAATGTTCCCTTATTTTCTTCCCTAGTATCCAGATCCTCACTGACCTATCCCAGCTGACACTGGGCAAGAGGCAGGGTACAACCTGGACAGGTCACCAGACTATCACAGGACTGACACATAGAGACATCACACTCATTCACACCTACAGCCAATTTAGAGTCACCAATTAACCTATCCCCAACCTGCATTTGATTGAATTAGAAAATTAAAGTCAAGTTCAAAAAGAAAAACCCTTATGGTTATTTTGATTGTGAGACCCTTACGGACTTAAGGAATATAAATAATTGAGAATTGGACACATATTTGGACTTGGACTGCTTCAAAAGTAGAGTCAGCACTTTTCTCTTGTTTACCATGCTAATAAATCTGAATAAACTGTACTATGGTGCTCATGGTGTCCAAAAATTGAATTTAAGGATTGAAGTGTGAAGAATCTAACAGAACTAATGATGTGCAGCATGTTCATATTGACAAAGATTAAACATTTAACGGTATATCTATATGTGTGATGCTGATGTGCTGTTTTGAAAGTCAAGACTTTGTTTATTTAAAATCAGATGAAAACCCACTGTCCTGAACCCCGCCTTGTTACTATGAGGTTAAGTCTGTCATTCATGATCTCAGGCATTGAGGGAGAGTGGCGCTGAATAGGACCAGAGTGCAGCTGACAAGTGTTCGCTACTAGCTCGCCATCATGCCTTTACAAGCTTCAGAACTGTGCCTGTCATCTTAATTCTGTGATTAGAGTTTTATATTCTGTACTCCAGGACTTTATGGATAATCAAATAAAACCATCATATGATCCAAAACCGAGATTTTCACAGAAATCCACATTTATCAGCTTCTCTTCATCAAAGTTGCAGCATACTGTAAGTTACACGACCACATGCTCACCATGTGAAGTTCTTTTTGTATAATGGAAACTTTTTTTGAAAGAACTATATTTCGCCATGATTATTTTTATCACACATGAGCACCATGGAACAAATTCTTTTTAAAAATAGAATCCCTTTGACCACATACAGTATAGGCCTATTGACTGGAGGTTGTTTTTTGAATAGGTCATACTAATGTCAGTACATTTACAAGGTCCCTCTGTGAGCACGCTCTGTAACACAGCTGTACACCACCACTCCCTAAAGGCCTGCTGTCTGTCACCTCCATTTTCCCAGACCCACAAAGCCCAAAGCCTACTTTATTGTTTAGAAGTGTGAAATAATGCAATAATCTCCCTGCCTGTCGCTGAGCACTGGAACAGTGTGTTCAGACCTGTAAATGACCTTGCCGCTGGGAGCTGGAAACAAGAAAAGTTGCTGAAAATTTAAGAATTTCTTTTGTTCCTTTAGGTTGCTCTTTATAAACGCACACAGCATGTCAGAATTTCCTCTGATTTTTTTTTTTATGCTGAGGCCAGAAAAACCCATACAAGTCTGTGTAAGTAAAATAGCAGAGGTGGCACCTTGTGACAGAGGCGTCATGAACATCATACATGTGTGATGGAGAAAAGAACATTATGTCCTGTCATGGAACCTGTTTTTTTCAGAAGTGTATTTCCTCTTACCAACAACACATTTACTTACAGACACATTCTGAAACCTCCAAGTAGCAGTTTGCACTTTTTCTGTTCTTATTTAGTAAAATATTAGTGTTTGACTTAAGTAATAGTTGAAAATAAGTACACAAGGGTGGCCTTCAGAGAATGGGAAATTACATATATATATAATATATATATATATATGTGTGTGTACCCCACTGTTCTTTGTTCATGTCTTTCCAAATGAAGCTCAGCACTGTTACCATTCAAAGAACATTATGTCCTGTCATGGAACTGGGTTTTTTTCAGAAGTGTATTTCCTCTTACCAACAACACATTTACTTACAGACACATTCTGAAACCTCCAAGTAGCAGTTTGCACTTTTTCTGTTCTTATTTAGTAAAACATTAGTGTTTGACTTGAGTAACAGTTGAAAATAAGTACACAAGGCTGGCCTTCAGGGAATGGGAAATTACATGTATATATATTTATATATATATATATATATATATATATATATGTGTGTGTGTGTGTGTGTGTGTGTGCGTGTGTGTGTGTGTGTGTGCACCCCACTGTTCTTTGTTCATGTCTTTCCAAATGAAGCTCAGCACTGTTACCATTGTTACATTGTCTCAGACAGATGCTCTCAGATGCAAAAGCTATATATATGTCATCGCCATAGTTTGCAGGCTGTGTGCTAAAACCCTGCCTGTGGAGAGGGTATACCCACCAGCAGGACAATGCCCAGTCTCATAACCTCCACTCGACCCCTGTCTGTCCCTTAAGAGTCCAACAGAGGGGGGGAGAGAGAGAGAGAGAGAGAGAGAGAAAGAGAGAGAGAGAGAGAGAGAGAGAGAGAGAGAGAGAGAGAGAGAGAGAGATGAGCAAAAACACTGTTTAAAAACACTTTGCTGTCATGGAGGCAGAGTTGAAAAAGTTAACAAAGCCATTTCCTCTTTACAATTGCCCCTCCCCAACAAAAGCAGTTCCTGAAAAGTAGCTCCTGCTGTACTCCCCTACAAACCTCTGTGTCAGAGGCGTGATTCAGAAAGAGAGAGAGAGAGAGAGAGAGAGAGCTGGGGAGAGAAACGCCTTCCCCAGAAAAACTAGTCATCTCAGCATGTCACCTCATTAGTGAGAGTAGTTGACGATTCAAAGGGCAGGAGACTGAGAGAGAGCGGAGAGGTCACTGTAGGAGATGAGAGACTACTGATTCTCCTCCACTCGCATTATATATATATGTTGATTTGCTGGTATCAGCATATACTGCTGCTACTTTTTCCACATCCATTAATTGCCTGGTGGTTGCTTTTTTTTCCTTGGGCAACTTGGGCAACTTTGGAAAAAGACAAAAAGAGAAGAGAAGAAGAGAGCACAACACCATCTAAATGTAGAGAACTCCCAGGTTTATGTATTGGTTGTTTTAACTTTCCTCACACAGATCTGGACAGTGTTTCCCTCTTCACTATGGCGGGCAGGTGGAACCTCCTGATACTGGGTGAGTCACATCTGTCATCCATTTGCACAGTAGTTGGGATGGAAAATCTCTTGTTGAGAAAGTTTGAGAATGTACTGTGCTCCAAGGAGGGAAACTAACTGGCTGCAGCACCCTGAAAACTTTTAACAAGAGGTATTTTTATCTGCGAGTTTCTGCTGAAATCTAGCATGGAGAAAAAAAACAGATGTGTCTTTCTTAGTATTAAACATAATATGTATTGTATTTAATGTGTTTATTTTTAAAAGTGGAGTGAAATCATTTCATATATTTTCATATTTCAAGTCAAGTCAAATTTGTTTATAGAGCACATTTAAAAACACCTAAAAAGTAAAAAAGTACATGTTTTATTACTTTGTTTAACTTTACACAAAGATAAAATCTGCCAACAAGTCTCACAGGCAAAAAAATAAAATTAGTGTCACCCTCACATTCATAAAAACTACATATTTTCATCCTACCTGCTGAGCTATTTATCAGGCTAGATAGTTTTGGTGTGAGTTGAGTTGTGAGTGTCGGAGATATCAGCCGTAGAGATGTCTGCTTTCCCTCGAATATGATGGAATTAGATTGAACTGCAAGCGCTAAAAAAATTACACATTTCAAAAACTTTTTTTTTTTCATTAATATGACTTCTGTGCCTTAACATAGTTGGCAGGTGTAGTGTGGTTGAAAGAAAATAAAGTCTATGGTTTTTCATGAGTTGGGGGTTGTGATTTCTGGCAAGCAACTTCGCTGGAGAGTTTGGTTTTTTTTGCACTTTGAGCACCACAAGCTGAGTGCTATTTGGTTCTATTTTATCCTTGAGAAGGTAGATATTAATTGACAAATAGCACTACAGGTAGGGGGAAAAATATACTTTTGATTTGGGGCTGAACTGTCCCTTTAATGCGAGCCTCTCTGCAGCAGTCAGAGCCTTAAGCCCGTGTGGGAAAAAGCCCAAATGAATCAGCTGAAGAGGAAGGAGAGTGATGCTGAACACAGTGGCTTTTCTTCAAACAACTCACTATCTGGGCCCCACTGCACAGAGGACCTCTGTTCTTTTGCTTTTTAAAGTGATATTTATACACCATGAGCTCACTCACCTACACTACTTGTCGCTTGATAGTACCCTCAGTCACACAGGAAGAAACTCTATGTGTTGCCATGAGATGACATAACATTGAAACTAATGCAAACCCTGACACATCTCACTTTGCTTCCTTAGCAGACCACATTTTTATCAGATATCATCCTGTCCTCACATATGGACCCAATCTTCATGATGATATCAGCTCCCCAGAGAGAAAAAAAAGTTTATCTCTAACTTTAGGAAGTTAGCTTTGCATAATGGAAATTACTTTTGCATGCTGTACTTTCCCAATAACCTTTCATATCACAGCTTTTGACTGGGCACTGTTTTCATCCAAAGAGAAAACAAATACTGAAAATATTGACATAGGGGTTTTCCAGGTACATTAACCTCTGATTTATCAAAATCAGATCAGCTTTATTGGCCAAGTACGTATGTACATACAAGGAATTTGACTTTGGTAAACTTTGCTCTCAATGTACCAGTTTTGACATTAAGTACTCAAAAATTTAACAAAGAAAGAGTGAAAAATTCAAAATCAAATTAAGTAATATTTACAAGCCCTAAACATACGTCAAATATACAAATATATACAAGTCTGTTGTAATATATTAGTATTGTTGCAAACATTTTAGCAGGAAAAATATAAACTAAATTGTCAACTAATAATACAAAGACTATCTGCATGAAATGTGTTTAAACTACGTGCTGACGCCTCGAAAACAATGCCAATGCAAAGTCTATTACAGACAATTGTTTCTGTTGTCGCAGTCACACCCATAGACACACATGTTAAATTGCCCAATTTCACAACACATACAGAAAGCGGTTTTGCTCTCTATAGCTGATGTTTTTTCATTCATGACAGCTGTAAATGGTAAAGGTAAATGGACTGCACTTGTGTAGCGCTTTTCTAGTCCTCTGATCACTCAAAGCACTTTTACACTACATGTCACATTCACCCATTCACACACAAGTGGCCGAGGATACTATACGAGGATACCACCTGCTACTCAGTAACCATTTAGACACACGCATACACCAATGGAACAGCCATCGGGAGCAACCTAGGGTTCAGTATCTTGCCCAAGGATGGTTCGACATGTGGACTGGATCAAACTGCTGATCTTCTGATAGGTGGATGACCTGCTCTACCCCCTGAGCCACAGCCACCCCCTTTACAGGCGATGAATTTCTACATAACTCACCTGTTTATATTTAATTAAGGCTTAAAGTTACACACAATTAAGGCAGGCTGCTTTGAGTGACAGGCTGTCTGACGAGTGTTCTTGGCTTCTCAGTCATATCCACCCCTCACTCCTCCAGAGTGTCAGCCTCTCGTCCAAATATGGTCACTTCCATCGCTTCTGGCTCCAAAAACACCAAGATGGTGACGGCCGTAATGCCAAAGTTAAGGCTTCAAAATAGGAGTCCACAAACCATTGGGCTATTGTCCATTATCTTTCTAAAGACACAAACAGTGATCTCCTGGTTTAAAGTCCATGTTTGTTTAACCCACCTGCCACAAAAGATCCTCAGCGACTTTGCATTGGCATTGTTTTTTGTGTTGCCAGCACATTATTTTAACACACCACCACGCAATGTGTTGTTAAGATTTTGTGTCCATTTTACATACTATTATGAGATGATATGATAGCTGGGAATGTGCCTCTTTGTGGTTTGAATTAACTAACCTTTTAATTAACAATTATTTGGCTGCTTCTTTTGATGATTACATTGAATTCATTGTGTATACTGATAATGAGGGGGAAAATAACTTTCTTTCTGTTTCCATATGCTGTACATTACATCCATCTGGTGTCATTTAGGCGACCACAAAGGACTGACTCTGCACTCTTACAGTCTGAGGATGTAATGTTTTTTTTGTGCTTGCACTATGCCAGCTGATATTTCCTCACTCATAGGAAGCAGACTTCTCCAGACACCGATGTGTTGTTCATTTTGAATTGCAGCACAGATGCTCTTGGAACAATCTGAGGAAATGAGGGTATAAAATGAGGGAATTAACCTTTTCTGTTGGGCCTTTTTTTATATTTTATTTTTTTATTAATGTTGTCAAACTGATCCTTTAACATCACTGTGGTTACACTGAAGTATCTTAGAATGATTTTAAAAAAAGGAGTTATTGTACGGGGATAAAATTGTAGCAGATTTTGCATTAATGCTCAGATGATGGTGAACTGTGGACTGATAGTCGCCTGCTTGCTTTTCAGCTCTGTACCTCTCTGACTTGGTGGCCCTGACGGAATCAGAGTGCGCTCAAGGATGGATTAGTACAGAGCAAGGATGCATTGGTATGGAAAACAAACATATTTCACCACATGACCCACAGTGGACATTTAGGCATGTTGTGGCATATGCACACTTTTATGGTAGTGGTCATCCATTGCTCATCTTTCATCATTCTGTTTGTTAAATTACTCATTGGTTTTATCACCTGATCCTTTCTTTGGTATGAGAGGATTCTTAGTCGCACTTATATTTATGTGATTTGTTTCACATTCATGTCTCCTTCGTTAAGATAATGATGAATGTGCTATTGATGAGGACTATCCCGATGAACCTGGAGCATGTGTCGAGAATGCGTCCTGTGTCAACACAATTGGCAGCTACTACTGCCAATGTCTTGATGGTTTCGTGTCATCAACTGGGGCTGTGAACTTTACAGCTGTAACACCTGCAACATGTGAAGGTAAGTCATCTCATGTATTGAATCAACCAAGGCAGAGGCTCTGACTCAAATTTTATTGAAATTTTACTGCTGCAGTCGTCATCTAAATATGAAATTCCCATCCTTGTCTTTTGCTTTAAGATATCAACGAGTGTCTGCAAAACGAGGATATGTGTGGACCTAATGCTGAATGTCACAACACAGTTCCGCATTATTCCTGCATTTGTGATGATGGATTCATTTCCACCACTGGACTGGAAACTTTTCGCCATGGTGACAACGTTATATGTATTGGTAAGATGCTTATCAGTACCCTCAGTACTGTGGTAGGTCCTATGGTCTCTGTGCTTAGTGGTTTACTAATACGCCATACCGTCCAAAAGCTCTTCTCCTTGCGGTTCAATTGATGAGGACCATTTCAAGATACAACCATCACAGCAGGTTCAATAAATGCCAATGTCAATGACACTCCTTACCTCCAGGAGAGTTTTTAATTCTCTCTTGGCATTATACTGTTATAGATGCACTTAAATTATAAACAAATGGCTTCTCTGTTGTCTTAAGGGAGAAAAACTCTTTCTTATCAATTTAGGTTTTCTAAAAAGTGCCTGGACAAAACCTTAGAAAAACAAAATGTATATTTTCTGTGATACTGTTATGTACTTTGAATATGGACTATGTGAGCCTTCGTGATACGGTCTCACTATGTTTTTCATGTAAGAAGTTCCAGTTCAAGTAATCTGTGGTATGTTTTTTCAAGAAAATATTCAGAAGTAGATAAAAGAATAAAGAAAGAAATACATAAACTTTTATTTCAGCATCTTGAAACTTATATAAGTCAATGACAGAAGCAGTTTCAGTGATTCTCACTGTTGGGGGAAAACGTTTTGAGTGTAGTGTTTCAATTGAGACTGTTCATGTACATGTACTAAAAATGGAACAAGAACAGCTTACAATTGATTTAGGTGTTTTAGGTTCATGTAAGTAAATTTACAGGACTGGTAAGAGATTAATGTGGGAAAAAAAACTTTGTTCACTGATGGTTTCCTGTTCTAAATATCCTCTTGCTGCAAATAATAGAGATCGACGAATGTGAAGAGGGAAATATTTGTGGTCAAAACGCAGCATGTGTCAACACACCAGGCAAATATCACTGCATCTGTCAGAATGGCTTTGAACTGAAGTCTGGTAAATCTAACTTCACTGGCAATCAGGAGCAATGTGAAGGTGAGGGCTATGACATGTAGCACATATTATACATACTATCTTCGGTTTGTATGTAAATATCCCACTCCTGGCTGTCAAAATGGTGGCTGAAATCTGACCTTTTCATTGACACCTCACTTGAGCCAATAGGAGCTTCCATACTGACAGTTTTCAGTAGGCAACGAGGGCCTGTGCTGAAGGAAGTGCCTCCCGTACTTCCTTTGGCCTCAGAGACAATCCATAGCCAGTGACTGGCCCAGTGGCTTGTGGGTCTTGTTTTCAGTGACTCTCCTTACCTCCAGAGGAGTTTTTTATTCTTTCTTGGCATTATACACTGTATAAATGCACATAATTGATAAACAAATGGCCCCTCTGTTGTCTTAAAATGTAACAAGAACAGCTTTCAATTCATTTAGGAGTTTTAGGTTCATGCAAGTGAATTTTACAGGGCTGGTAAGAGATTAATTTGTAAAAAACTTTGGTGGTTCGCTGATGGTTTCCTGTCTTGTATGTTCTCTTGCTGCTCATACAGATATCGACGAATGTGGAGAGAAAGATGTTTGTGGTCCAAATTCAGCATGTGTCAATGCACCAGGCAAATATCACTGCATCTGTCAGGCTGGCTTTGAACTGAAGTCCGGTGAATTCACTGGCAATCAGAAGCAATGTGAAGGTGAGGGCTATGACATGTCACTGCAAAACAGTATCATATTTAGAAGAAGATTAAAAAATAATTATTTCAGTTTGTTGAAACTTAAATAACTCAGTGACAAAAGCACTTACAGTGATTCTCACTGTTGGGGAAAAACTGTGAGTGTTTTAAATCTTTTAAATGAGACCATTCATGTACATATAGTAAAAATGTAACAAGAACAGCTTTCATTTTTTATTTAGGTGATTTCAGTTTAAGTAAGTGAATTGTACAGGGCTGGTAAGAGATTAATTTAAAAAAAACATTGGTGGTTCACTGATGGTTTCCTCTTCTAATGATCTTCTTGCTGCTCATATAGATATCAACGAATGCGAAAAGGAAAATATCTGCGGTCAAAACGCAGCATGTGTCAACACACCAGGCAAATATCATTGCATCTGTCATGCTGGCTTCGAACTGAGATCTGGTAGATCTAACTTCAGTGGCAATCAGGAGCAATGTGAAGGTGAGGGCTATGACATGTAGCTGCAAAATATGTATCATTTAACTGTTTTAATAAGTTATTTAATCTGATAATGGGTTTCACATCGTTAAACAAAACTAAAATGTTACTGAATCACTGTTTTTGGATCTGGATGCTCAGATGGACCAGGTTATTTATTGTTCCATTAGCACTGACTGAAACACACAGTGTAACCATTTTCCTCTTCCCAATTTGTTTCCATTTTAGACAAATGCATGATTGATAAGACAATCTGCGGAAATGGAATCTGCCACCGTGGAGCCAGCGGCCATTACTGTGTGTGCCACCCTGGGTCCACTAACTATGGCAACAATGAGTCTCGCTGCACAGGTAAGAACAGAGCAGCACTTTTTCCATCATCCATCACTGATGCTGTGTTTGTACAGTAGGATGAGATCTGTATCTTCACAATATGAATGCCATCAGCAAGCACATCTAATGAAACAAAACTTCCTGTTTTCTCAGAGTTAAGGTGTGATGTATTCGAAGATATGAGCAATCCAAAAGAGGTAACACCACACCAGAAACTTTACTTTTACCACAGTTCAACATTTATTTTAAATGTCTATTGTCTCATATTTCTGTTGTGTTTGCTCTCTTAGGGATTTCACATTTCACAGGATCTTGTGATGCATTTGAAAAAAAGCTGTCTGAACATCATGAAGAATGCAACAAAGCTGGATGGAGAGGACATCTTAAAGGTATTACGGTACAAAAAATAATTGAAATGCAATTTGATTATGCAAAACAAAAGCCATCAGTTCCGCAGGATCAGCACAGAAATAGAAAGTTCTACTCACTTCAAGTCCTGTCACGTGGTGTTCAGATGTCTGTGCACAACTATGTAGACTGTTTATGTTGACCTGAGGTGGTATGCAGCCTGAAAGTCTGACTGCGTCTCCTGTTTCTCCCCGTACATGCTCATGTTGCTCCCTCTACCCCTCCCCTCCTGTGGCTGTAGAGACTGTTGTCTGCCATCGACGAGCTCTTGTCCAGTGAAGCCTTCAAAGATAAAAAGAAGGTCTCCACCTTTCTGGACATGGTGGAGAATGTCTTGAGGCTCATAGGGCCTCTCATTAAGCCCCCCGGGATAAAAATATCCTCCACACACACAGGTAAAAATACAGCATGTTGAGGCTCTTCTTAGGATGTGATGTATTTTTCAACAGCTGGTAGATTCTCTTTTTCTGGAGTCATCTACGGTATTAACTGAAGCAAAACATTTTATCTTTCTGTGTGCGTCCAGAGCTGGAGCTGCTGGTACATAAGGGGGCTAACTTACCCCAGGGACCTCATAACTTAACATCTAAGCATGCTCAGATGAACATTCAGTTGGAGACAGCTGCCGGGGATCCCTCCTATTACCCTGGTAATGATCATGCCTATAATTAACACATTTGTGACCACTTTCATTAAGATGACTTACAAATCGGGGCTAATGAATGTCCACTTAATCCAATGTTATCCTCCTATGATTGTGAAAGGCTTTACAACAGCCTCCTTGCTGACCTACGCAAACCTTGAACACTCTGCGGACAGCTTCTTTAGTGGGATGGAACCACAAGTGAACCACAGCTATAAGATCAACTCTAAAGTTGTGACTGCCAGCGTCAGTAACAGAAACACAAGCCACCTCAAAGAGCCGGTCACCTTGACTTTCTACCACCTCAAGGTAGCATATATTTTTCGTAAAGAATAAAAATCTATCTCTGCAGGAAAACATCACACCTGTAATGGTAATTATCTCTATTTTGTTTCACAGTCAAATGAATCCCAGCACACCTGCGTGTTCTGGGATTCCTCGGTGGATGGAGGGTCATGGTCTACTCGTGGCTGCAAGATGGTGGAGTCCAACTCTGAATACACTGTGTGTTCCTGCAACCATCTGAGCAGCTTTGCTGTGCTCATGGCGCTCTATGATGTGGAGGTTAAAACTCTTACATACATGATGATATATGGCAAATTATGATGCTTCTACTGTATAGTTGAAACTTAAAGGTCCAGTTTGTAAGATTTAGGGGGATTTAGTGACATCTAGCGGTGAGGATTGCAGACTGCAACCAGCTTAAACTTCTCATAATACGGACTTCCTGATTTTGCCAAGTGGTTGCTACCTGAGAACAATTTGTATCATATCCCTGGGACAACAACTGCCTCAGCCAATCAATGTTTGTGATGTCATCAAGGAGAGCCCGCTGCCAGTGCCCTGCGATATATGTACAAAACGGCTATGCAAAGAGGTGCAAATTACAAGATTATTTTACCTTAGTTTACACTAGTCTGCTACTACAGACATTAAAATATGCATTTGCTTGTTAGATTAATTGTTAGTATTTTGCCACTGTGGAAATAAGCTCACATAAGCTTGCAAAGGTCAGCTAACAGTTAGCCAGCTAGAGCGCTAGCTTAGTGTTAACTCCTTGATCATAACAGACTACAGTAACGTTAACTTTCATTTCTGCTCATTTTAGAAAGGCCACTACAAGAAAATGTGTTCTTTGTTTGGATTGTCAAAGGGACAGTGAGACATAGATGTTTGTTTCTGGCTGCTAGAGCTAGTGGGCTAGCTGTCACGTGCTAGCATGCTAAAATGTGCATGCTAGCCCGCCAACTGTGTCCTTAATTTTGCAAAGGTATGTGACATCACAAACATTGATTGGCTGAGGCAGTTGTTGTCCCAGGGCAAAATGTTGTTCTCAGGACAAAAACCACATGGCTAAATCGGGACATGCATATAATACCTTCAGTGATTGTTGTTCAGGAGGTTTTTACCAGGAGCCGAATCATCCCTAGAGGAGTCGTCCTCTTGTCGCAGACGGGCTGTGTAAGCCCAATGCCTTCTCATCTTTTTTCTGATACAGACGTTCAGGAGGTTTTAACCAGGAACCGAATTATCTAGAGATGGTCTCTTCCTCTCTGAAACAAATGGATCTGATGACATAAACTGGTAAAAAGGCTGGAGGGAAAAAAAAAAAAAACGTTTTAGGTCTAAAAATCTGTTTTTCCAACCTAGCTCATTGCAGTCGCCAGCTACGGTGACCTATGCAAAAACTTGAATGGCCCTGTTTAGAGCCAGTGTTTGGTTTGTCCATTCTGGGTAACCGTAGAAATGTGGCAGTGCAACATGAGGACAAATGCCTATGTAGATAAAAACAGCTCAGTTTAAGGTATCAAAAACACAACAATTCCTATTTGAAGGTGATTATACACTAAATAAAACATACTTATTATTGTATATTCAATTTCTGCCAATATATCCAACCCTTAGTCCTACACACTGGACCTTTAAGTCTGTTTCTGTGTACTGTAATGTAACCCGTCACTCTCTCTCAATAGAACAAGTTTGAGTTGCAGCTGATCACCTGGGTGGGCCTGTCCCTCTCGCTAATTTGCCTGTTCATCTGCATCCTGACTTTCTCGTTGATCCACTCCATCAAAAGCCCAAGAACCTCAATCCACCTGCACCTCTGCATCAGCCTCTTCATTGCCTACGTTATCTTCCTCGCAGGCATCTCTCGTACAGAGAGCCGGGTAAATATTTCTGTAACTTGCGCAGTCAGACTGTCTGCAATGTCCAGATGAGTGCAGTAAAAATTTCTGACACCTTCAAATACAGCACAGGAGAACAGATACTGCATAACAGCACAGCCACTGAATGATTTATGTGGGCGCTGAAGGTTTATAAACAACAATTCAGCAAGTAGTTTCTCCCCATTTCTTTCTCCCCCGTTTCTCAGCATCCTTTGTCCTTTTTTCCATCGCTGTCATCCTGATCTTAATCTCGCTCCCTGCTGCATTAGGTTGGCTGTGCGGTGGTAGCTGGGCTGCTGCATTTCTTCTTCCTGGCAGCATTTTGCTGGATGTGTCTGGAGGGCATACAACTCTTCAGGATGGTCGTCATTGTCTTTAACACCAACTTCAAAACCCTTTACATGATGGCAGGTGGCTATGGAGTCCCAGCTGTTATTGTCGCTATCTCTGCTATGGTGAATGCTGAGGGATATGGCACCAAGAGATAGTAGGTTCCTCCCACTGATGCTTATCTTGTTTTATGTTTTTTATTTATACCTGGGTAAGTTATGTTGACATACTGTCTGCTCAGTAACTCTCTGTATGCATTGCAGTTGTTGGTTGAAGCTGGACTTCATTTGGAGTTTCTTTGGCCCTGCCTGCATCATCATCATTGTGAGTAAGACAAGAATTACGGAGTTGGAAAATATCCCTAAAATTGACTTCATTGCTTTTTTTAATCATTTCTACTGTCTTTCAGATAAACATATTCTTCTTTCTCATCACTGTGTGGAAGTTGGCACAGAAGTTCTCAAGTTTAAACCCTGACCTGGACAAGCTGCAGAAAATAAAGTGAGTCATATGCTGCATATGTAACGATATACTTGACATGCAGAGCTACACATTTTCTATATACTGCTTCTCCCACTGAGGAGAAATAAATAAATAAGTAAGCTATTTCCTGTTAGAGTGCCTTGAGATTTGACCCGTGCGTATCTTTGTTGCCTCCTGCAGGGCGTTCACCATTACTGCAGTGGCTCAGCTGTGTTTGCTGGGCAACATGTGGATCTTCGGTTGTTTCCAGTTTAACAAGGGCACAATTGTCATGTCTTACCTGTTCACCATCTTTGGCAGCATTCAGGGGATCATGCTCTTTGTCATGCACTGTCTGTTTTCTAAACAGGTCAGTCACACTCCTCTAAAAAAAAGTAAAAGAACAAGCTCTGCTGCTTTTTTTGTGTCAAAACTCATATGTGTTCTGATTTTAGGTGAGGGAGGAATATGGAAGCATCCTGTCCAGATACTGTGCACCTGGGAAGAAGAGCTACTCAGATTTCAGTTACTCGCACACCAGCAAAGCTCAAGTAAGCAGTTATTTATTTCATCACAGTGTCTCTGATTTAGGCGGGTGAGATGAGAGGCTAAACTGTATTATCCAATAAAGTTGCAGCACACCCACTCATTTTACGAGAATGCAACGCAGAATGTGCTGAATTACATGCTATATATTTATAGTGTATTTTGGCTTCCACATTTATAATATATATTATATATATATATTATATATATATATATTTTTATAATATCTAAAGATGATGCCCATTGTTAACCCTTACATTCAGTTTGACAGCAGTCAAAACACCCTAAATGCCATTTTTTCGCCTGAAATTTGAGACTTTTCATGAAGCGACAAAAATGCACAAAAATGAAAAGATTTAAATATCGTATACTTTCACTCAGGTGCTACAAATTTTTGTACACTGAGGTTGTTCGAGTCAAATTTGACCTGCGTGCTTTGAAATGGATTTTAAATGGATTTTAGATCCACAAGTGTGTGTCAGATCAAAGAAACTGGTGTCAATATCAACACAATCTGTGTTAAATTCCTACACATTAATGAGTTGAATTTGGGACAACGCATGCTGTGTTAATAGTGACACATTAAGTCAAGGATATTAACACAGTGACTGTGTCAGAAGGGTTAACACAAAGGTGTCGAATGATGTGTGAATACTAAAGTACATTAAAAAAAAAAAGTACAAGTAAAAGTACATTAATGTGCACATATTGACACATTTATGTGTTACCCTACATAATTGGTTGAATATGATGAATAAAAATGAAAATGCCACCCAAAAATATTTTGCAAAAATATTTTTTAAACATTTGTAACTTATGTGTAACTTATGAATTAAAAACTTTTCAAACCTTGTATCTAGGGTTGACATAGAGCCAGTTTCCCGTAAAACATGGGTTAAAGTCAAGTGGTCCAAAATCAGACAAATAAGTAAGAACTGCCTGCATTCTCCCCAAGTTTGGCAATGTTCCCACTGAGACCTGATGGTCATCCAACATGTCATGAGGGGATCTGGACACAGTGAGTAAAACAGCATATGCATGATCATATATGGTGCACATAAGGAACAGAGGTCATGGGGTGTCCAGACACTGCTGCAAGATCTGCACCTGCAAGCACAAGCACCTGCAGTGGGACATAATAAACTCAAATGGAAGCACATCAATCCCCAACTAACTATAAGAGATTAAAAGATGGGTTTGTGAGAATCACAACACTATAAAGAGTCAGACCATAATATGTAAAATCTGAAGTTTGTTGTTGAAATAAGACATGCCTTGATTGCTCTCCAAGCAACATTAAAATGAATTAAACACAGAGTGCATGTGGACAGCATAGTTCAACATTTGTTGTGTAATTAGATTGCATAAGAGACTTAATGCGGTTAGGTCATTGGAAGTTTAATTTGGAAACCTTCATTTCCAGGGTTTAACGATGACGAGGTATAAAAGGAGATGTAAAGTGAAGTGTGTCAGAGCACAGCCTGACCTGATATGAACGAGTACTGAAGGTGTCTGTTGTGGCTCATCATGTCTCTCTCCTCTGTGGTTCTCAGGGATCCAGGAGCACCCAGGACACGGGAGAATCTCATATCTGAAGAGCAAAACAGCGACATGGTAGCAACGCCTGATTTATTTCTTGGAGACTGCCATCTCAGACATACGGGCCACTCTTGCCCTGCTATTTGTAGTCAGTGCACCAGTTTGCTTCACTGCACAATGTTGTAAATAATATCCTTTTTAAGATGTTTTTTTTTTTTTTTACCTATTTGTTTTTGAGTCGGTGTAAAGCTATTTAAAATGGAACTGCTGACTGTTATAATTTAATATAAATTAAGGATTTCCCTCCGAATGAGAAGAGATGACATTCAACAGTGAGTGTTTGTGCTTCACTGTTACTCGACTATTTGTCAAATGGTTAATAATGTCACTCATTTCAGAGAAAATACTGTATCTCAACATGTGTCATTTTTTACATGTGGAAAAAATGTATTGATTTTGGACCAGAATGGCTTGTTATGTCATCCAGGTAATTTATTGAACCAGCAAAGACAATCTGAAAGACATTTCTGAGGCAAGCACTTTTTTTCTGCGTAACTTGTCCACCATGTTTAAACTGATATTATCTAAAAATGACCAACAAAAATGAGGACTATCATGAGACCAAAATGAATTTTAAATGTATATGTGTATAATGATAAGATGTTTGTGTATATATATATTGCTGGGCAATTTGTATGTATTAGAACAAGTGACTGCATTCCTGCTCCGTTTAGCGTGCAGTAACACATTAAATGTGCTGTATCTATATATTTGAAGAGAGCTTTTTATTTTCCTACTTTAAAAAATTGAATGTTTGAAGATAACTTTTGTTATTATAGTCTATTAGAGTGGTGGTTATCAACCTTTTCCATGTTAAGGAACCCTAAATTGGTAAAAATTAGGTCACAGACCCTTGTTTCATGAGATTTCACCTCAGGGACTCCATCTGAAAAGCTTGTTTGATACGATTAAGACCAGAATTCTGTGGTTGCCAATTACATCTGAGTAGATAACGAAGGAGGAAGTGAAACCTTTGATCGGAGTAATTACTTAAATTGGGCTTACTTCTACAGTGAATTACATAGAAATTAAATAAAATAAACTATTCCTCATTTTAGGACCCCCTGGAGCTCCCTTAAGAACCCCTGGGGATCCCCGGACCCCTGGTTGAGAACCACTGCACTAGAGTATTAGTACTGTTATAAGCACTGGTTTTAGCACAAGTTTGGAATTGCTGATAAATGTTTTATTATGTTTTGTTCTGTCTTTCCAAGTTACAATTTCCGTCTTTCACATTGTAAATTATTTAAAATGGTGTTTTCATACTTGTAATGCCGCTCCTCGAAGCTTTAAATTAAATAAATATTCTGACGTACCCAAGGGCTCTGTGTGAAGGTCTTCCCACCGCCTTGAATTAAAATGAATAAAAAAATAGAATAAATGACTCTTTAAAAGGCATATTTCTCTTTAAAGTTCCTCATGTTAGGGCCAAGATTTAGCAGAAATAGCAACAAGACATCAACAAACTAAGAGTGGAGTTTTATTTAAGTGCAAACACAAAGTTGTTGCCACACCCATGCTATGATAATATTTTTTCCCCACCTTCATGTCTGACACTGTCTCACTTTTGTTTACTGCTGGAGCATCAACTTTATCTAACTGCTTGGATAGATAGAAATAGCCATGCATAGAGGAAATAGAAGATAATCTCATCTTCCTTCCTGTTTGCGTGGGATGTAGACATGTTGGTCTCTGAAACAACTTTGAAGTCTCAAAAGTGGTACTTGAATTTTAATGAGCAAACAAACCTTGAGTGGCCTTGAAAACACGTTTCACTGTATAATGTTTCAGTGCAGATCAAACTCAGTAAACATTACAAACCTTGGTGAAGTCACTGCTGATGTATTTGTACACATATACCAGAAACCCTTGAGGCACCTAATCATCATCATGCTCTGTCAAACTCCTCTGATGTCCATCTCTGTGCTCGTTGTATGTTTATGTGACTGACTGTGACTGTGATAATCATCATGGTACTGGTTGAACAGCAGACTCAAACCTCTTTCTGCTCCTAAGGAAATATAATTCACATTGAGAATTTCAGAAAGTAAGAGAACGTTAGCAATAGCTGACTTTTATTTTTTTCCTGTTGAATTATTCAGCTTGCACTGGATCAATACTACAAAATGAAAGTGATGACTGAGATCCCCTCTGGTTCAGAGGATCAGTAGAGAAGATGAATAAATGGAAGGACCACATCCGGGGGGGGGGGGGGGGGGGGGGGGGGGGTTGGAGGATGGAAAATGCAGATCCGGCATGTCGAGATAAAATAGCTGTCAAGCCTCTGGAGGGAGAGACAGCTGGACCAGGGAGAAAGAGAATCAGTGAGGCAGGGGAAAAGTCAGGAAGGTGAACCAGAGCAAATGTTTGTGAACAACAGTGATTACTGAATGTGGCAAATCAGGCAGCTCTGCGGACAGGAAAGACACATTCGTCCTCTCTCATTTACTCCAAGTCATCCTCAATAATCTAGTGTTCATCCAGAGTCATCTGAAGGTAAGTTTCATTTATTATTCATAACCATTTTCTGGAAATATATTTTATAGATAACATTCTTCTCAGGAAGGTGAATCTGTAGGAAAGCTAGGATTCCTCCTTCATTACATCTATTTAATCCACTTTCATTATAAATGAGAGCTGTGAGGAGTTAAGGAGAGATTCAGGCATCTTGATAAAGGCGTTTAAGATATGGATAATGTAGAAGGAGCGCTGCCCCGAGGACAGGCGTTCCTTTATTATACCTGAGTCTTTGAGGAATGTTTGGTTCTGTTGGAAGAAGTAAAAAATTGAACAAGAGAGTCGGAGTAAGAAAAGATATAGCATCCTTCTGAAGACTTTACATGGTAAATTATATCTTGGTCAACGACAACTTTCTATGGTTATAACATCCTCCCAATGTATGCGGTTATTTTTTTACACTTTCAGGGAAAACACTTCCCTCTGTGAAGGTCCACAGATTATTGATGAAGTAAGAGAGAGGTAACAGAAAGAAAACGCAAAAAAAAGAATGAATAAATAAAGACAAGATCAAACAAATCAGCTTCGAAGCTGTGGAGTTTATTCAGTTTCTCTAAAGCTCCGAGTGGTCTTTTTAAGAGGTCTGTAAACTCAACAGTTTATGCAGAGGTTTGCTTACAAAGTAGACAGGTTTCAAGATTCAAAGGACTCTGCTGGTTACCACCAAATGGGGAAAAAACAGCTCAATTTTAGCTGTTTTGTTTTTCTTCTTGTTTTCCTTTATGAAGGTACATCAGCTCCTGGAAGCTTTTGCCACCGGAGGGCCTTTGTAAGATTTCTATCCACGTACCTGCTAAGAAAGTCGGTGCACGTTATTGCTGTGCCCCCTGTGAAAAGGCTGAGTCTGGAGAGTGAAATCAATTAACCTGTTACAAATATCAAGCCCAGAGCCTGATGCATGATGATGTATAACAATAGGATGAACATTGCTAATACACTCCGGTGCGTGTGCTGCTGGTTAAAGTTTAATGACATCACATATCAGGTAGCAAAACAGATACAAGACTATTGTTGTCCAAATTTGCTGTAGCCAGATGTTTTAAACCAAACCTAGGGGGGGCCAGGGGCATGCTGCCCTGACACAGGTATATGCACTTCTTTTCGAGGCATTTGAGATAATAGAATACCTAAATAATCTGTACATCATTTGTCATTCTGAAACCAAACAACAACCAATGTTGAGGATGACTTATTTTCATTAAGGTAGGGTAGGAAGTTGGTGCAACCACCATTACTAATCCTGAAACCTATTCTTGTTATTATCCGGGAGTTGTGTTCACAGGATGAATGTTACATCCTATACTAATCTGAGCTGCTCTAATTTAAAATCAAGGATCCCCAACAATGCCAAGTAAATGCGGCCTTCAATACTCTGAATTTAATATCAGACCAGCAGAAGAACACTCAATTATATTAGATTTCTTTGGGGATTAGCACAGTAGGATAAATGTACATATATCATTATCAGAATAGCACAAAGCTGGAGTTATTTCAAAAGCCTAAAAGAGAAACAATGCAGGACTGGAGCCTCAGAACACCCCCCCCCACACACACACACACACACACACACACACACACACCCACCCCACATTCCTGCTCTGCCTCTGGTTTAAATATCATCCGTGAGATTAGTTTCTCTTTAGTTTTGCTTCAAAGCATCTCAAATGGCAATTACCTAAAAAATAGGGATGTAATTCTAAGTTATTATGTATCCCAAGCTCTCTCCTTCCAACACAGACAAACCGAGGCACACTGATGCCATTATGACAGTTCAGCCAAAACCAAATTAATAATGGAGTAATGAGTTAGGGAACCAGCCAAGCAAGGAGTTGTGGAGTAGGAGCAAAAAATAAATTACAAAGTAGGTTGAGAGATCTGAAGAGTGTTGAAAGGAGGAGCATTTTGTGAAACAGGTATATGCAATGTCAGAGCTGAGAGCCTGTTGTGCAAACCGGTTGAATGAGTTCAGCAGGAATGACACAAGTTCCCTACATTTCCACACCACAAGCAGCAGTGTTGTTAAATCTCTGACAATCCTCTCCTCAGGACATCCACGTGGCTGAGGTGCATTCACAATATTTGCTGTTTTCAAATGTGGCCCGCCCGCAGCCTTTGACGTGTGTTTTTCTACACATCTTTCCAGCATTACACAAACATACACCTGTTAAAACTGCTGCACCAGCTACCTACTAATTTCAGTTATTTTAGTATTCTTTTATTGGTTCACAATTTACCAAATGGTCTCGCTCAGGACTACATGTCTGACATGGTTTTAAGAAATGTACCCACTGGATCCCTCAGCTCCTCTGGTGGATGTTTTCAGGGTCTGGTCTATGACCCACAGGGAAGCTGCTTTTAGCCCCTATGGAACGACTTTTTGGAGGACCTGAGGGTGACAGTGTGTTGACGTCTTTAAAAAAAAGATAAAGCACACCTTTTCAGCCTGGCTTTTAGCAAGCGTGTCTATTCTGACTTTCATTTTTATTGTTATTCATATGTTGCTATTATTTTTTACTATATTATGTTTTATTCATTTTTTAGTTTTTTTTTTATTTAAACGTCCAGTAGGATTTAGGGGGGCATATTGGCAAATAAATGGAATATAATAGGTATGTTATTTTTAGTGTATAATTACCCAAAAATAAGAAACACAGTGTTTTCGTTACCTTAGAATGAGCCGTTTATATCTACATAGGGAGCGGGTCCTTGTCCATAGAGATAGCCATGTTGCACCGCCATGTTTCTACAGTAGCCCAAAACGGACAAACCAAAAACTGGCTTTAGATAGGGCCATTCGCATTTTCACATCAGCCACTGTAGTTAGCAGACCCTCTGTGACAAGAGCATCAAAAAAACACAATTTTTAGATAAGATAAACACAATTTTTTGAATGTTAAAGTGCTTTAATCAGTGTTGTTACTGGTTGAAATCACCAGGTCTATTTGTTTTGGAGAGGAAGAGACCTCTACAGATAATTCAGCCCCCCAGAATGTCTGGATCTGACGTTATCAGGTTAAAAAGATGAGCACATATAAGCAGGCGCTAGGCTTACATCCCATCTCCAACATGCCAAACAGTGTAGAAGAAACAGTGATTTGTTAAGTGAAACTGCTTTATTTAGTATTTTTATTGGTTTAAATTAATGGGTCTGTTTGTTTTGGAGAGGGGGAGACCTCTGCGGACAATTCAGCTCACTTCACAAACCTGAATTTGTGAATCAGAGATAAGTTGAGCACACATTAAGTTGCCAGAGAAAAAAGGTGAGCACATTCCAAGGTACTGGGCAAGCAGGCCATCTATGACAACCCAAACATACAGTTAGGTGAAACTGCCTCATGAAGTGTTTTTTTACCAGTTTTAATCATCGGATTTTGAGGAGGAGGAGACCTCTGTGGATAATTTGGCTCCCGGATTAAAACCTTATGAACAATGAACGCAATGACGCCACTAAGTCTCCCTAAATCGTACAAACTGAACCTTCAAACTCATGTTCTTTTTAACTGACATTCAGTATTTGGGGTTGCGTTCTGATATATGACATGTGCTATGTAAATAAATGTGATTTGATTTCCATCCTCTGTGACTGTCAGCTGTAATAAAGACAAAAACACCTTTCACAGTTCGTAAAATATCCTACAAACATGACACATTGCGGTAAACCCATTCCTGGAGACTGATGATTCCTTTGTATTTTCTATGAACAGTTATGCTTTGTAAGTTTTGACTTATGAGCATACATCTATCTATGTATTCAGACCAAGCGGTTCTATGTGCATGTGTTTACATGACACTGGAAAAAGGCTCTCCAGGGTTTCATCCACTCCTCTTCATTATTGCATGCACAGCAGTAGCTCTTCTAATTAAGGTGTAAATCCCAAGTGTCATCGGCAGACTATTTGTTGTAATCAGTCTTTGAGTGGCCCAGAGAAGCATGTATCATGTATTAGTACACAATTTTGCATTTAAGACTTCTCTGTTGTCCTGTTGTCTGTGAATTACTTGAGACACCCTTCAGATTGCAGAACAGGATGACATAAAAGCATTAGCTTAAAATCATCACTCAGTAGTTTTGCAAGAACCAATGGAAGTATTTTCATGTTGCCTGTAATCCTCTGCAGATGACACTGAAGATGAGGACATCATCTGTACTCATGGCTTCAGTTTTCGCATCTCCTACACCATCCATCGTCCAGCAAAACCTGAAGATCAACTTCTCTGAACAAACAAGTCCCTGGCTGAACAACAGCACGTGGCCACCCATCAAATCCTCAGGTTTAGGGATGTCTTGCTTCACTATGACATTTGGCGCCATCTCTAACCTCACAGCTCTGGGCATCCTAGCTAAATCCCGTGTCCGATTCCGTCGCCAATCCAGAGCATCATTTCTGTTACTAACAATGGCTTTGCTTTTGGCTGACCTTGCAGGTCATGTGATTCCAGGCGCCTTTGCTTTGTATATGCACGTCAATCAGAGGGATAAAATGCAGGGCAGGAAGCCTACTAATGCATTCTGTCAGATCTTTGGGGCAAGTATGGTGTTTTTTGGCTTATGCCCTTTGCTGTTGGGTTGTGCGATGGCAGTGGAGCGCTGTGTGGCCATCACAAAGCCCTTTTTCCATGCTGCTATGATCACATTGGGTCACGTGTGGCGAGTTGTGTTACTTCTGCCCTCTCTTGCACTTGGGCTGGCAGTTCTACCTTTATTTGCTGTGGGGACTTACACGAGCCAGTATCCTGGGACATGGTGTTTCTTGCCTATCCATGATCCACAGTCTGCAGCTGACACCAGTCTGGTTCTGGCCTTCTCATGTGTGGGTCTCGCTGCACTTGCTCTTTCCCTACTCTGCAACATCATGAGTTGTCTGGCATTGCTGCAGGCCAGAATTAAGTCCAAAAATGTTAAAACTAAATCAGCAGCCTGCTGCAGCACTCGTCGAGCATCGACTTCTTCCTCTTTGTTTTGCTCGTTGGATGTGGAGATGATGGTGCAACTGGCAGTGATCACTGTGGTTTCCTGTGTATGCTGGGGTCCCTTTCTTGTGAGTACTACTCCTTTAGATTGCAGAATTTGTTTCTAGAACTATTTTCACCTGGTATTTTCAATAATATTGGACATAGTAAACATGGATGGATTACTGAGCGGGCATACTGGGCACAAACCCAGGAGCCCAGAGTATCAGGAGGCCCCCTGGCTGCAAAATGCCACTAGAAGAGAGACATACCAAACTGAAAGAGTGCCAAATGACCACAAAGACACTTAAACAACTTCAAACTCAAAATGACCACAAAGGGACACACAATGACCACTAAGAGAAACGAAATAACTACGAATAGACATGAAAAGACCACGAAGAGACACAAAACGACTGCAAAGAGATGCAAAACAGCTGCAAAGAGACTCACAACAACTACAAAGTGACAACAAAGAAGCATAAACAGCCACAAAGTCACATAAAATGACTACAAAGACACACAAAATGACCACTAGAGACACAAAACAACTACAAAGAGACACAAAATGACCACAAAGAGACAAAATGACTACAAAGAGACACAAAATGACTACGGAGAGACTCAAAACAACTACAAAGAGACTCAAAATGACCACAAAGAGACACAAAATGACCACAAAGAGACAAAATGACTACAAAGAGACACAAAATGACTACGGAGAGACTCAAAACAACTACAAAGAGACTCAAAATGACCACAAAGAGACACAAAATGACCACAAAGAGACAAAATAACTACAAAGAGACACAAAATGACTACGGAGAGACTCAAAATGACCACAAAGAGACACAAAACACAGAACAACTACAAAGAGAATTAAAATGACCACAAATAGACAAAAATGACCACAATGAGAATTAAATGACCACAAAGAGACACAAAATGACCACTAAGAGACACAAAACAACTACAAAGAGACTTAAAATGACTACAGAGAATTAAAATGACCACAAAGAGACACAAAACAACTACAAAGAGACTTAAAATGACTACAGAGAATTAAAATGGCCACAAAGAGACACAGAACAACTACAGACACTCAAAATGACCACAAAGACACACAAAATGACCACTAAGAGACGCTAAACAACTACAAAGACACTCAAAATGACCACAAAGAGGCACAAAATGACTATAAAGAGACACAAAATGAGTGTAAAGAGACACAAAATGACTACAAAGATTCCAACATGACCACAAAGAGACACAAAATGACTGTAAAGAGACACAAAATGACTACAAAGATTCCAACATGACCACAAAGAGACACAAAATGACTATAAAGAGACACAAACCGACTACAAAGAGATGTGAAAAACAGGCTAATCAACAATAAAGTCTGTGTGTCTTGCTGTAGGAGAGTTGTTGGGGCCCTCTGCATGTCTGTGCCCAGGGGCCCATTGTTTCATAATCCACCCATGATGGTGAAGTCATAGCTACACCTCATGAGTAGCCTAATTCTGTGTGTCTCCTATATTACAGATCCACATTTTTGTGATGCAGTTCAAACAACGAACCTCCACCCATGAGAAAGATGGGTTCATTCTTCTGAGCTTGCGTATGGCCTCCTGGAATCAGATCTTGGATCCCTGGGTTTACATCTTACTGAGGAAGGCTGTGCTTTTCCAAGTTTGCTGTGCTTCCTACACACAGAGACCCTCAGAGGCAGAGAACAGGTCCAGTGCAGACAGGCAGGACTCCAGTGTGCAGTGACAATGTTGCTCTTGGACTCTTTTCCTTTTATGGACTGAAATAAATTATTTCTGTAATGTGTGTTGTGAAAAAATTTAAACTTTGCTCCGCTTTCATCAGGACTTAGCGAGGTCCATACTCAGCAAGCCAAGCGTGTACAATGCAGCAGTGTGAATAAGGGGATAGAAACAGACTTTCACAACATTTCCCAACATTTAGTTAGTAGTCTGTGCCGGCGCTGCTATGGATAGCATCCACCTGCAAAACTGTTTGCTGGGCAATTGGGCGGGGTTAATATTACCCAATCACAATTGAGAAACCCCTGACAGGCGCCGAGCTCAACCAATGGCGACGCTGCTTGAGAACGCTCACACCCGGGATGGGCGGGGCTTCTTTAGCAATGACTATTCAATATGGAGTACAGAAAATAGCCTGATTCACTTTCTCGCTGCATTTCACTGCCCTCATTCACTTTTGGGCCACTTTTGCATTCCGGGCACAAATGATGAACTCTCCCCCGTAGATGTCAGCCGACAGGACTCGCTCACGTACGTTTTACATATTTCCAAATACCGTCTGAATGTAAACTGTTTACTAGCTTACTTAACGGTCACAACAACCGCGCTGACGGGCAGTGAACGGCAAAACTGTTGGAACTCTGTAAAACTACTGGTTTCCTTAAAAACACTGTGTCATTTCGACGCCCTCAATATCCGGAGGAAGACATAAATACTCGATAGTTTCCTCGACAGCACTTAGCAAGTTGTGCCGACCGACCGGCGGGGTTATCGGGTGAAAGGTGACATCGCGTCAGTCCATTGACCCGTAGGTAAGTTAACTTATGTGCAAATAACGTTAATGGACGCAGTTTCCGTCAAAGCTGACGACGATTTAATGATTTCTGTTTATATGTAACGTTACTGCTTAAATGTGAGCTGTGATGTGTCATAACTTTATCCAAGCTCAGGGCTTTTATATTATAGTTTCAGCTATTAAACAAAGTCTGTATATGTGTACCAGTATTCAACCCCCTGAGTGAAACCCATGTAATCTTCAACTCATGCCCGTTCAATTCTAAAAGCCTACCTCTCTCCATGTCCTCCATGACAAGAATGCACAATGCAGCGAGTGTCTCAGCCTCTCTGGGGTCCGTGGGACTGTTGCGTCTCTTCGGGGTGTCCTGGTCCTGGACTCTGGCAGCAGGCCTAGGGGTTTATCTGGGCACAAGGAGCTGGAAATACTTCTACATAGCAGCACGAACAGCCAAGAGAGACCTCAAGTAAGTTAAATGTGTCCAAATGTACAGATGGGGGATAAATGTAAATGAAAAACCAACATCAGGTGTCCTAGAGTGGAGTCAGGCCACCACAAGCCCCCAGAACAGCTTTTGTGCTTCTTGCCAAGTCTGTGGAACTGGCTTGGAGAGACGGACATCATTCCTCCACAAGATATTTCCTCATAGCCTCTGTTTTATCATCTCATGAGATCAAGATCTCTTTTTGCAGGGGAGACCTGCGTACAGCAGATAGAAGAAAAACATTCATAGCCAGACATAACACTTGGAGACATAGCCTCAGAGACACAGACATCACTAGATAGATATAAAGATTAAAGTTTATATCAAATCATTTGGTCTTACAGAGATGGTGGTGGAGAACATTGTCTTATGCCCACTACACTAGAAGACTTCGTAAATACTTTAACCCTCAGACCCACCACTGACCCATTTTGTCTCTTCGATGTTTAGTGGGCCCTAACCAAATTTTGTCAGAGTCATTTCAGGTCATCTGTCTGAAGTAATGTCAGGTGATCTATACGATAATAGCAGGTCAACAGGATGTGCCACATATAGGTGGTATACATCATCTGAAAGCTGAGAACCTAAAGTTTAATTTGAGATGCAGCTCAGCACTGTGTGAAGGTTTTCTAGTCATCAGTATGTAATAAAAGTGTGTTTAGAGTGTACAGGGGCTCAGAACATTATGCTGAAAGTAAGCTTACCATTCCCATGCTCAGTTACTCCTCATAAATCTCATTTTGGGTTGATACCATTTGTTGCTAAGATGTAGTGTTAAATTTAAGCATTTTTGACAACTCTAAAGTTGATGAAAAAGGCCAAACATTACCCTAGAATAACACATTAAGACACTAAGACATTGAGAAACATCATAGAAAATCCATGCTGTGACTCACTATCAAATATATTTGACATTTGAAGATTTCCGCAAGAAATTTTTGGCAACTGGATGGCGAGCACTTCATTCTTGAAACTGCTGAGAAACCCCTGTAATGTCAGTTTACCTATGAAAACCATACATCATACACCATATGTTGCAAGACTACAACTAGACTCCTTTTGAGACTATTTGCCATCCTGCTCCTGGTGGAAAACATTAAGCCACACTCCCTTTAAGGAATGTGACATTATCAATTCCTTACGAGTCTGCTGAACACATAACTCTAAAAACGGTATGATATGTTGAAAGTATTCTTGACAATTCAGCATATATATATATATAATCTATAAAGATAAACTGGCAAAGTGAAAAATATTGTAAAGTGAGAGCGACCAGAGTGATTACCTCAGACCTCAGGGTGCTGGATAGAGCACACCTATTGACAATGTTCATATCATAGAACATCAATATCAACATGAGCCAAAAACCTACAATAATATTGAACATGTTTGATTGTGTCGAAACATCGAGATGCGAAAAAGACTGACTTAAGACAGCTCGGACAGAGTTTTATGAACACCTTACACCACATCATGGGAGCATACACCAACTGAGGTAGAACTCTCATGATTGTAATCCAATGTTCAAAAATTTCCTGCAACAGTGAAATTGCAAAGTGAAAGTGAAAAGCATTTAGTGTAAGGCTGGCATTACATTAAATCTTAAGTAAGTGTGAAACTGGGTTGAGATCAGGTGACTCTAAAAGCCTTAGCATTTTATTATGTCATTTTTATATTCACCAAGCCATTCAGTGAGCTCTGGTGGACAGAAGTATCTTTTACAAAGCTTTTTCTTTAAATTTGTCCCCCTATAGTCCTGCTCATGCACTTGGGTTTACATCTTTACTTACCTGTTTTCTCTTTGTCTCTCTCCTCTGACCCTCGACAGTGGCCTGTACGTGCTGTTGAGAGTGAAGCTGGATTTATGGCGCTACGTGCGCAATGGCAGTAACATTCCTTCCATTTTCGCCCAGACGGTAAAACGGCACCCAAATAAACCAGCACTGATTTATGAGGCCACAGGGGAAACGTGGACCTTCACCCAGCTTGACGAGCTGTCGAATGCGGTGGCCCACTGGGCAAGAGGTCAGGGGTGGGTCTCAGGGGATGTGGTGGCCCTCTTCATGGAGAGTAGGCCGTTGCAGGTGGCGCTTTGGCTGGGCTTTGCCAAGGTTGGGGTGGAAGCTGCACTCATCAACTTCAACCTTCGCCATGATTCCCTGCTGCACTGTATCGGGGTGTCTGGGTCACGGGCTGTTGTGTTCGGAGCTGAGCTTGCTGATGGTAAGAATGTTGAATAAGCACTGATGCTTTAAAATGTTACCTCTGATTCAGTAAGTTATTTGAAACAGTGTTAATTTTGGCAGCCATTTTAGTTTTAGTCTATAGATGATAATGCTTTGTTGTTTTATTCACATTAGTCATTTTAATCCTTTATAGTTTTAGCCTAATTTTAGTCAACGAAAAGTCATTAGGATTTTGTCAATTTTTAGTCATTACTTTTAGTTTTTCTTTTAATAAATCAATACAGTTAGGCTATAACAGGTGTTCAATTTGGAATCAAGATGACTGGTTGCATCCAGTGTTGAAATTTCTTTTACAGAATTTTTGACACATTTAAAGGATGATTTACGAGCACACACTTACTGACCATCATTTGAAAAGCTTAAAACCTCTATATTGAATTTGAGACAACTAAACAACCAAGATTTGTACCCATGTTCACTGCAAACTCTGACTTCTCAACATCACTGTTAAGAAGCAGAAAAATGACTTCATTTCAGCCTGAATTCTTTTTAAATCTGCCAAATGTTACTCTGCAGGAGGTGTAAACTCATGTCTTCCCACAGAGTGAATCAAACCACACTTTTAAGCTCAGAGTTCAGACTGTTAACTCACAGCACGGCTACACTCACAGAGTCAAACAGATGTCAAACCTCAAACCCCCTCAAGACTTCATAATGGCTTCAGAAGTGAAATTATACAAAAACGATCCTTCAGTGAAGTCTCATCATTGCTGCATAAATTTAAGTTCACTCACAATATTTAAAAAATAATCTATAGTACAGTCTTCTCCAAACTAGAGGGTTAAACTAATCTGATTTGTTCCTCTCTTCTCTTCCCATCTCCCTCTTGTTGCTCTCATGAATTTCAGCCATGTTGGAGGTCAGCTCATCCATCAACCAGTCCATGATACGGTTTTGCACAGGAGACCTCAGTGCAGAATATCTGGCCCGACTGAATGCCCAGTTCCTGGACCCAATTTTAGCCTCTTCACCTCGACATGCCCCTTTACCTTGTGTTCCCCCCAAAGGCATGAACGGTGAGTATCTTATTTACCACTGAACTCAACTGTAGCTCTGACTAAGACTTAACCTTTATGTTTCTTTTAAATACTATCTTAAAACTATTTCTTGTACTGTGTTTGGCTGATAACCCTTGTTATTTTTGTTTATTTGCTCTATTCTGAACACCCAAAGTGTGTGTCCCACAGTAAGTTTTCTCACTCTGCTGTCAAGTATCTGAGCCGAAACTGTTTCCCAGTAGTACTCCCTGTCTGGAGTAGGTATGAATGACTTGTGAGATGTGTACTGTCTGAACAAACTAGATCCCCTAACACTGGTAAATCTGTCTTAGATGAATGAATATAGAAGTCAGCATTAAAGGTGTGAGCCCAAGATACACGCTGCATAAGGGACGTCATGAGAACCAATAGTTCAGTACCAAGTCGATGCAAAAATTCTGAAAACGTGATGGAACTCGTCTTTCTCCAGTACAGTTGGTATTGGGGATGCAAATTTGCCGGACCTGACGGGGCAGCTTTTATGCCAGTGAGTGTTCTAGTCTGTCATTAACTGTCAAAGGGAGGAGGAGAACACCTACCAGACCGGAATAGTAACACACGTGAAAGACGGCAGCAAGTGCAGTTGCAGTGACAGCTCCGCCTTGACTCATTGAAAAGAGAAGCTTTTTTTTTCTTGAGGGCAGCGTATTTGGATTATTCCCTGCAATGGGAGCACTGAGTATTTACAGTGTGTTACAAACACCAGCAGTGCGAGAAGGTGCAGAACGTCTGTTCTGTCCACGTTTCAACTTTGGGTAAAATGCTGCCATCATCACCGTCACTTTTTACCCAGCTGTCCAATCATAGTGGAGGAGGGGCAGGACAAAAAGCCTATCACAGACACCAACTGTCACAGCTTACATGTGCACATGCAGAACAATGGGGGAGAAGTATGTTAAAATACTGTAGCTTATACATGTTTCCTTGCAAGAACACACTTAGACTAGTACTTTGCATTCGAGGTGGATCATCAGGGATTATTAATACAATTTTTATAAAAGTTAATTTAAATATTTTTAATAAAAAATTGTACATGGGATTTATTGTTGTGTTTTTTACCGTGGCATTAAATTGGGTATGGAGAATCATGGAATTTTACTGGTATTGGTATCTACTGGCATGTCTACTCTACATTACAAACTAGAGGTACGTATTGCCCAAGAAAACATGAGGCGCATTCAAAAAATATCTATATTTTATGCTCTGTCACTGTCTGGACTCTGAAAGCGAACCAGCAGTGGCTAAAATGCTGGGAAGACCCCTGTATTGATCTAAAACTTGCTGTGTGCAATTGTAACACTCTATTGTATTCTCTTCTGCAGACCGTCTATTTTATATTTACACCTCCGGCACAACAGGACTGCCCAAGGCTGCCATTGTGGTACACAGTCGGTATGTTACTTACAAAAAAAAGCATCACTCTTCAGACGGTTGCTGCACAGCTAATGATAGATGTCTGAGGATCTCTCCTGTGTTCCCACTACAGTTACTACAGAATTGCTGCTTTTGGGTATTTTGCCTTTCGCATGTGCCCTGCTGACATCATCTATGACTGTCTGCCCCTCTATCATTCAGCAGGTATGTGAAGGCAGGCTCCAGCTCTTCATGAATACAGTTATCCCCTTTAGGTTTGCATAACCGAAGTGTTAGCTTTTTCTCCTTGTCAGGTAATATCATGGGAGTCGGTCAGTGTCTGATCCACGGCCTCACTGTGGTAGTGAAGAAGAAATTCTCTGCCAGCCGCTTCTGGGAAGACTGCATTAAGTACAATTGCACTGTAAGAGCTTACGCTTGGAAAATATTGAGAAGTGCTCTATTTTAATTAAATCAATAACCATGAAACATTAATTTTGAATAAGCCCTAGCCGCGCTCTCCCGCTGTAGGTGGTGCAGTATATCGGGGAAATCTGCCGCTACCTCCTGTCTCAGCCAGTACGGCCATCAGAAAAAGGCCACAAAGTTCGTCTGGCGGTGGGAAACGGGTTGCGCCCCAGCGTGTGGGAGGCCTTCACAGAGCGTTTTGGCGTGGCACAGATTGGCGAGTTCTACGGAGCAACTGAGTGCAACTGCAGCATTGCCAACATGGATGGCAAGGTCAGAAATCACTGTGTTACTTGTGTGTCTTAACTGATAAAATGTGAATTGGATCAGAGTTAAGCTAACGCTGTCCTGCCAGGTTGGAGCCTGCGGATTCAACAGTCGCATTCTTCCCAACGTATACCCCATCCGTCTGGTGAGGGTGGACGAGGACAGCTTGGAGCTAGTTCGTGACAGCCGGGGGCTCTGTGTGCCATGCCGCCCTGGTAACTTATACTAATACTGCAATAATGATTTTTTTTTTTAGATGCAGTATGTGATTGTTAGCTGTGTTGATCTTCTGAAAGCACCCCCATTTAGGCTCTTCCATGTCTTGCAGGGGAGCCAGGGCTTCTGGTGGGTCGCATCAACCAGCAGGACCCATTGCGGCGTTTTGATGGCTACGCTAACCAGGATGCTACCAGGAAGAAGATAGCTCACAATGTCTTCAAGAAAAATGATTCTGCCTATTTATCAGGTTGCAAAATCCTTTTTATTTCATAAAATACTTATTTATATTCCTGATATAGTGCATCACAACACTTAACACAGCTATGATTGTTTTCCCATACTTTGACTCAAGGTTTGCAATTATTTTTCACCCATATGTCCAACCTAGGTGACGTGCTGGTGATGGATGAGATGGGCTACATGTACTTCCGTGACCGCGGTGGAGACACGTTCCGCTGGCGAGGGGAAAATGTCTCCACCACTGAGGTGGAGGGCGTACTCAGCAGTCTTCTGGGTCAGACTGATGTGGCTGTGTATGGCGTGGCAGTGCCAGGTGATGGCTAACTTGGTGTGCTTACTGCTTTCAGCATCACATCATGCTCATAATTATTCCTTCTCTTTAATGCACATTGCTTTTGACTGTTGGTGAAGATTCTCAGTCATCCAGATCATGGTAATACTGAGTACTGTATTGTAGGCAGCTGGACTTGCTTGAGTTTCTTGAAGATGTTTCACCAGTCATCCAAAAGGCTTTTGGATGTTCTAACAGACTGGTGCAGAGTCACAGGCTTTAAACTCTGTGTGGGTGTGAACGCTTACAGAGTCGTTGAGGTCAGAAACTCAGAGCTCACATATGACCTCAATGACACCCACACAGAGTTTAAAGCGTGTAACTCTGCACCAGTCCGTTAGAACTGAAGAAGCCTCCTGGATGAGAGGTGAAACATTGTCAAGAAACTCAAGCAGGTCCAGTTGCCAATGATAAAGCACAAAAAATGCTTTTGATTGTGCTCACTACTTGACAAGTCTTTGTGCCTCTCTGTGTGTCATACCAGGTGTGGAAGGTAAGGCGGGCATGGCTGCCATTGCAGACACTACAGGGAGTTTTGACTGCAACAGCTTCATGCAGAAAGTTCAGCAAGCTCTTCCTTCGTATGCACGCCCCGTGTTCCTGCGAATCTCCCCAAATGTGGATACCACAGGTACACTGCTCTAACATCCCTGTGTTCATAAAAATGTAAGCCATCACAGATGATTTCATATCAACAAATCATAATCAATGTTGTATCTCCACATTCCTGCATAGGTACATTTAAAATCCAGAAAACCAGGCTGCAGAGGGAGGGATATGACCCACGTCTCACTACCGACCAGATCTACTTTTTGAACGCTAGAGCCTCGTGTTATGTGCCTGTAGACGAGGAGCTGTACAATGCTATAGCTGAGGGAAGAATGTCTCTATGAGATGGAGGAGGCCGTAGCAGGGCAGGCATGGTGCCTCAGTTTAAGAGATGCTGTAGAGAGACAGTGGCGTATGCATATGCTGTGTCAGGTCAGTAAGTCTTGGTGCACCACCTGTCTGGATTTTAACCTTTCAGGTTGATGGGACTACTTACATAGTAAGTATTGTTACAGATGACGTTTTAACACTGTATGAGTAACACACCAAGACATAATGTGAGGGCATGTATTCCCTTTAATAACTTGTTTTTAATTATTAAATGCACACCTCAAAAAGCCTTTGAGCATCACTGCACATAGAGTGGGTATCTCTCACACCCCATTTGAAGCAGGATACATGTTACAACAATGTTAGGACAGCGAAGGGTAGCAACAGGCCAAGCTCTTACAGGGTATATACCCATTTATGAAATGTGCTGCGAGAATAATTCTGTGTAGGTTTAAGCAATACTTGAGTGAAGCAGTGAAGTTACTGATGTGTGTTTGAATGAAGCTGAAAGATGAGACTTGAACATGCAATACATGTGGCTACTAGATCAAACACTAACCATAGTCTTTGTTTTAATGCAATGGAAAACTAATCTCACTTGTCATATTCCAACCTTTGAACAACACTGGCACGGGTTTGCAAATACACAAAAGTTGTTACTCTATGTGCCTTATATGAAACATCAGATCTGTGTTTCATTTTTTTAAATGCTTTTTTTGGAAAGGAGCTCAACAGATTGTGGAAATCACAGAAGTGATTTTGTGTCGTGCAAAGCTAAGTCACTCATAGTGACTGTCATTTTATGTACAAATTTTATCAGTGTTGTAATATATGGGTGTTCAAGCTATTTACAACTTCAGATCCACTCCGAGACTACATTTTTGTTGAAGCTAACTCAGATTAAATATTTTAAAACATCTCTGTTTCATGTCATTCATTAAAAAAATGGCAGTGCCGTTCTGTAATATCCCAGTTACAGCCCTTCATTTCTTTACACAAATAATGGCGATATGTCTCCAATGCAAATCAGTCCATTCACTAGTCCATTGCCACGAGTATCCTCGTGGGTAGGATTTTCAGTGGATGCTCTTTGCAGGCAGTACAAAAGTAGGGAAAGGCTCTGGGTGTGATGACCTCTGTGAAGGTGTACAGAGGTGATCTCTCCCTAGGGTCGTAAAAGGTCACCTTGCCTCTGTCCATGTCTAAAACTATTCTTATCACTTCAGGCTTCCTAGTCATGTTCAGCGGCTCCCATGGTGCAGTGCAGGCCTTGTGCTCTCCGTTACGAAACCTTATAGTCCAGAATCCCTCAGCTGGTGTCAGCACGTGCTTGCCCTTCCTGTTGATGGACTCGCTGGCTACACCCACCACCCAGTAGGTGTTCTCCCCGACCTCCACATCCCAGCTGTGGCGTCCAGTGGTATAACCCTCAGCAGCCAGCATCTCAGCACTGATGTCAAATCGTTCAGGGTTGTCCGGCAGCTTGAAAATCTGGGTAGAGTTCTGCACATGTGTGAGATCCTCTGAGATGACGAAGCAGCTGGCTGCAGTGTTTGGATCAATGATCACAGGATCTTGAGTGAAAAAACAAGATAGACGTTACTGAAGTGGCAAGGAAGGAAGTGGTCAATAAAGCCATGTTTCCACCAGACACTTTCGGTATAGTACTTTTAGAACCCGTACGTAAGCTGTATGGATATGTACCTAAACTCTAGATCTGTTTCACAATTCCACTGCAGACAGTGCTCTTAAATGTAGTCAGGATTTTTGTCACTGCACCACCAATGTCTCACTGTATTTGCTATTTGCGGGTGATGCAAAGGAACCTCTGCACCTTATTGATAGTACGCAGAACGTGGTTGCACGCTGATGTTTTCAGAACCAAAAAGAGCATCCTTATGTGTTTGCAGTCTTTGTCACAATCGATGGGATATTTAAAAATTGCAGGTTTGTGCATTACGTCCTTGTCAAGCAAAAGAGACAGTTCTCTCTCAGTGTTTCTAGTTCTACCTTTTAGTATCAGATCAACGTGCCAGGTACCTCAACAGAGGGGTGACGAGTTAAAGGGACGGAAAGAAGGCATAAAACATGACTAGTTAGTGTTTGAGGAACTCACTATATTTGATGACTCTCTTCATCTTCTCCCACACTTTATATTTCAGGGAGCCCAGGTGCTTGGCCACATCAATCAAAGCATCAGAGATCATCTCTGGATCGAGGGTAGGTCGCCAGGTTCTGAAAAGACACTTAAGCAGTTAGTTGTTGAGACTTGTGTCTGTAGAGCTGTAATATCCTAAAAATACAATTAGCTCGGTCCCAGATGTGCCAATAACACTTACCTCTTGATTGTTTCCTTGTAATTCTAAAAACAAAATCAAGGAGAACAGCTTAAGATGATTTCTGGCTATGATTTGTTATTTGAATTGTATGAAGCAACAGTCTCATCTACCTTAAGAAATGGGATGTCTTGAGATTTCATCTCCTGCTCCACTAAGTTGATGGTGTTGGAGAGAGATGCTATTTCATCGTTCATCTCCTCAAACCTCTGAGTAACCATCAGATTCTTCTGGTCCTCGTCGGCCTTTAAAGCAGAAAGCCTGGCAGCCTCCTGCTCCTTTAGGAAACGGTGAAGGGCTTCAAATTCCTCCTTGATCTGTGTTTCGGTATGTTCAGCCTGGTGCTGGAAAGACACGTGATTGACGGGTAGTCATTACCTCCACACCGTGGCTCTGTAGTGCGTTCAAAGAAACATGATGTACTGATGGAACTGACTGTACCTTGACATGTTCTGCTATTTCCTCACAGACCGTTTTCGCCTTCTTGTACAGCTGCAACTTCTCTTTCAAAGGCAGCAGCGCATTCTTCAGTTCCTCCTGAAAAGTCATTGACAGGGCATCAACACTTAAAAACAAGGTCAGCCTGGCAGACAGCCCAGCTGTCAGCACAATGCAGGGCTTTCAGCTGCCACATACTCGTTCCATGGCAGCATTCCGTGTAAGCTGCACAATACAGTAGCGTCACATTAAAGGGACAAATCTATGGAGAGGGTTCTAATGCCCTGGTGACATGAGCAAAGCTGGGCTCGTGCAACTTGGAATCAAGACACAATATGGCAACCAATAAATTCACATCAGTGCTCAAGGTTTTCCCTTCTCGAGAGAAGGCCGATGAGGGCAGGAGTAGAATGAATGCGTCACAGAAACCTTGTGGGAATCGAGTTTCAGTCCTCTCGGGACCCGGATGGCGTCGGCAAACCAAAAATATAACTCTATTATTAGATTGTGAATGAACTCTGACAAACACCTTCACACACATCAGCTTATCAGGCTTAAAGGAGCACAAAGGTATTAAGAACAAAACGGTGGCAAAGAAAACAAAGAATGGATTTTCAAAATGTTGACAAGGTGTAAATTAAAAAAAAACGTCCAGGTACAAAGCACCACTTCTTTTTATTGAATGATGAATTACATTTAAGATTAAATTTGGGAATTTGCAAAAAAAAAAAACAGTCAAGCTAATTAACTATGATTGTAAAATTAAGTGAATCGCCTTCCCTTTTAAATTGTGAGGGCTCACTCATACAGTTGGGGGTATTGTTATATTGTTGACCTCAAACACTAATCTATAAAGACATCACATTCATCATCCAAACAATGTGACAGATATTTTAGTAGATGTTTCATCATCATTACTTCCAGCTGCCATCATCACAAGTGAAAGAAAGGAGTTCTTGATAATTTAAGATTTCCCAAACAGCTGCTGCTAAAGCTCAAATGAAATGTGTCACCCCTGTGAAGTACTGGGGTGACTAACCCTGTAAGTTTAACTCACCTTACAGTCATGAGCACCTTCTCTGATGGGATAGAGCCTGTGCCCAGTGTGTGCAGCTGCTTTCCCACATAAACCACAGATTGGCTCCAAGTCCTCCAAACAGAACAATGTGAGCTTTTCTCCATGCTCCCTACAAGCCTCTGGGTCATTCCAGCTTCTGTTCATCTTGAAGGATTCACAGGACCTCTCCAGCAGAGTGCTCACCACAATTTGATCCATAGAGGAACAGCGCCAGCACAGAGGACAGTGGTGCGAACACTCGCTGCCTTGTGTCTCCCAGCTGTCTTTCAGACAGGCTTTACAGAATCTGTCTCTACAAGTGAGCACCACTGGCTGACTGAGAATATGTCCACAGATCGGACAGGAAAGGTCATCCTCAAGATGAGCACGCCGGGTGGTCATTCTTTTTCACTGGGCTTTGATGAGAAGGCAGTATTCGAGGCCCCTCCCACGTCACTGCAGGGATACCTCAACATGACCTTAGGAATAAGTGTTGATACCTCAACCCCCTAAAGGCAGATCCCGTGTTATGCTGTGTTGTGTTGAGTATGCACATCGCACTTTCTCAAATAAACACCACAGGAAAAAAAAAAAACCCAAACTGGCTTAACATGTAAGAGACTGTAGCTGTGCAGATCAGAGCAAATGGTAGCCGGGCCAACGCATGGATGACAAAAAGGAGAATGGTATGCCATGTTCACCTCTAGGTTATTTGAGAAGTGTGTTGAAACAACCTGTCACACTGAAATGAAAGAGTTTGTGGAGAAACAATCTCCAAAAAAAGCCTGGGTGAAGCTATAAATAGAAGTAACTGATTTGGAAGTTATTTGGGTAAAGAAATATCCTCCTGCTGACCAATGGAATAATTTCACAGTCAAGTTTAGCTTAGGGCAACAGCTTTTTAAGAACCGACACATGGTTGTTTTTAAAATATCACAGAATCAAACCAGCTCTTTTAGTGTAAAACACAAGCAGTCAATGTGTTGCAGTTGTTAAGGACAAATAGAGGTTACTTCAGAGCACAGCGAGCACACAATGGCACTGTCGTCTGGAGTATTAATTTGTTAATTTCCAAAGAATTTAACAGTAAGCTGACCTTGTTTGTGCTGTAATCCAGTACTTTGTTGTGGGTCTTAGTTTACTAGAAACAGCGCAGTGCCAAAGAGCAAGAGCGTGGAGACAGAAAGCGAATACAGTCCTGCCATTAGAAAGCAATATGTGCCAGAGCTGCTGCAACTCTGCAGGATAGTCCTTAAACCTCACACACATGCTATGTTAGGATTCACAGTCAGCTTTAAACCATGCGGCTGGGAGAGTTATTAAAGAGTTCACTGTGTCTGTAGCAACCATATGCACATGACTCGAGGCTTCATCCCAAATATTGACATTATCTTAGATAACAGTGTGCTCAGTTTTAGAATAATGAAGTCAGGTTTAAATATATTTGTATGTTTACAACCCCCTAAAAGCCTCCTGACATATCAGACAGGCATAATGCATGTCATCATCACAGAAATTAGTGAGAGGGAAAACTTTTTTTTCACCCACCCACCCTGAGCAACCTCTGACCAAATAAGCACCAGTCTTGTTGGGATGCCAAACACACACACACACACACACACTAAGGCCTTGCCGGATTAGTAGTGGCTCTGCATGTAGTCGCTAGACAGATTTCTTTTAATAGGCATTTATTTTACATTAAGGTCAGTTTTATGTGTTTTAAATATTTCTTAACAACTAACATAATGTAATGTAATGATGGTTTAAATATGTTGTGGTAGGTGGGTGTAAGTAGGTGAATTAATAGCTGTTTTAATCTTTAAATTGGTCATTTGCTGAACTACAGTTTAGTAAACTGATTTTATTTTTAACCTTTATTTCACCAGGAGGTCCCTTGAGATTAAAATCTTTCCGAGGTAGGCCTGGTCAGTGGCGATCCAAGACTCTGGGGAGGCCCTGTCCTAACTATAGCCCCTTTTCCACAACTTGAAAACCCACAAACATCCGCTGACATCTGGCTTTTTTATTTAATTGAGCAGGTTACAATAGGCATTAACTCTTGGGTCAAATTACTAGGCGGTGGTCACTAGTATTTATCGTCTCCAGCTCCAAACGGCTCTGTCTGGCAGCATGGAAATACAACACCTGGGCAGACATGCTAATTTTAGCCTCTTTGGCGGCGTGATACAATGAGGGGCCGCCACAAAATACAGTCTCTATCCAAGCAGCACTTGAACGTCCGTCCATGCTGCTTTCCACTGTTTACTTACCTGTTTTCTGTCCCGCCTTTGACGTTGTGACACGCCAAAAAAAAATAAATAAATAAAATACACAAACCACAAACACACTTATCTGCTGCAGAGGCATGTACACAGCTCCAGGCAATGGGAAAGGAGTCTATCACCTATTTTTAGCAGCCTTAAAAATAACATACACATGCTGATTTTGGTGGAGAAAAAAAGGTATATTGGTATCCAACTGTCATAACGTAGCTAGAAGGGGCCCCTTTTGAGAGTTTTTTGGGGAAGTGGCAGTGCACTCTGTTCCCTTAATGGGAGATTTAAGGTGTTTTAGTTCTCATTGCAAAATATGCCAATATGAGTGGCCATCAGAGGCCCCTTTCACATTTTTTGGGGGGTGTCGCAAATATTTGCCTGGTTTGCCTCTCCTGATGGTGCACCCCTGGCCTGGACCATTACAAAGTTACAAACATTATAAAATAGAGGATGATAAAAATGGTCAAAGACAACAGATATATAATCACACTCTTTGGTCACACAGTTTTTGTGAACATTCCCAGGGAGACAAAATCATTAAGCTGTAGTGTTTTTGAAAGAAATCCTGGGTACCTGTTTCTAAATGGAAAAGATGAAATCAGCTGGGAAAAGACAGATTGCTTTGCTGCATGAGTTTACATGTTCACACACATCTGTGTGTGCGTGCAGGCATCTCATACAGAGGCAAACATAGAAATAATAATGAGGAGGCTGATTGACATTTTACTACAGTGCATAGCCAGTATTGAAAGATAATACACATTGTGTATGTCTGATATTCAAATTTCAACATTTTGCATCTTCATAACATCAGAGAATAATCACAGTCGACTCTAAAGATCAGTCTTCATGTTGAAGTAGATCACGTCTAGAAGTGAGCATCCACATATTATCAAATTCATGCTCAACACTTTTAAACAGAAAAGATATGATGCCTTTTTATTCAGCTTACCTTATGATCACTGAATGCCTCCCTTATGGGATACACTATGTGATTCATATGCAGGCCCGTTCTGTGACACGTAGAGCAGACGGGCTCCAGATCCGCCACACACAGGAGAAACAGTTGCTCCCCATGTGTGTCGCATGATTTATCTGGAAGCGGGGGTCTCTCTTCAACGCAAAAAGGACACTCTTTAACACGATGCTGTGTCCAGAAGTGCTCCAAGCAACTGTTGCAAAAGCTACGACCACAGTTGATGCAGCAGAGCACCACTGAAGCCAGGAAGACCTCCCCGCACAAGGCGCAGCAGGAATCGTCAATCTCCATCTGTGAAATTCAATGCAGCACTGATGGGTCTCTCTCTTCCAGGCAGCAGAGCCTATGTTCCTTCTGAATGTACAGTATGTACCATGAGTGTTCAACTACATATAGTCCTGCAGCAGGAGAGAGAGCAGACCCAGCTCCTCTTGTTTCACCATAAATAAACATGCACATTAAAGGCAGGTTTTCAGCTCAGTTTCAAACCAACTAACCTGAAAGGGACATGAAAAATCTCCACCGTAGAAAGAGATGTGAGCTATTTAATAAGCTTTACTTGTTCATTGATATCAATAGTCTTGTAATATTGTGTTATTTCTATGTTAAAATTTGAGTTTACATTGTTTAAATGACTTTAAGTCTTTCAGTGGCCACTTTCCAGGGTCTCTGCAGGTTTCAACAAGTCAAATTTAAGACTTTTTAAGACTTTTTAAGACCATAATGAATACAATTTAAGACCCATTTCACATCGATAAATTCGATAAATTCTGACCGGGCAGCACAGGTAGCCTACTTCAGTTCCGCTTTGTAGTTACGTTATAGCGTCCTCAAAAATCGAAACATTTAAAAGCAAGACTGAAGTTTATGCATGTTTTAAATAAAAGTAACGTCAATAGATTTTTAAGACCTTTCAAAATCGTATTTAAGACCTTTTATGAGATTTTTATTAGAATTTTAGACATTTTAAGGCCTTAAATTCAAATTATTGGATTTAAGACTTTTTTAGACTTTTTAAGACCCCTCGGATACCCTGCTTTCAGTTACTGTTAATACATTTTTTGGGCAAGTAAAGGCACTAAGTCTAAAATGAAATACCTTCTTATTAACACATTTATATAATTGTCAGTACAGTTAAATTTGGTATGGTCTATTTTAAATTTAAAGATGGATTTAAACAGGTAAAAGGCTCTTTTTTATTAGTCGTATTATAAAGAAAATCCTCGTAAATGCAATTTATTACTATTCATTTGCTTCATCAGAATCCTGTCTGTATTACAAGCTCATAATGACAATAGAAATCTATAGAGAAAGTGAACTTAAAGCTTAAAGAAGTAAAACTGATTTAATGGTGGACATTTGGAGCTTGATGTATAATGAGCCTAATTATAATAATAAATCTAGAGCAGAGTATCGACTAGAACATTTACAAAAGGCTGCAGGTTATAAAGGATTTAACACGGACAGGAATAAAGTCATTAGAAGTATCACTAATGTGCCTGCTGCTTTCTTCTCCCCTTGCACACACTTTTAACCAGTATTTTTTTTATAGGATTTGTTTCATATGTGGATATGAAAAAGGTACGTTTTAATCACATGGTCCACTTTATTGATCTTCACATAGCAATGACAAAGGTACGAGTTGTTTTAAGAGCACAAGACAAACAAACACTTGTATATAGAGAAACACATATTAACTGAAGAATATAAAAAGAAAGAAATGGAATTAAAAGGTCTGTAACATTATCAATCAGCTGCACTAATAAGTAATGGCAAGAGGTGCAACAACGTGGGCCTACCCGGAATTTATGCCAGAGTTCAGTCATCCATGGCTTCCAAAGTTTAAAACCTCAGCTGAGCTGGGTCAATACTCGACACGTGAGTTTGGCTGACAAGAGATTAAGGCAACCCTGAACGCATGCTCTATTGTTACTGTTCAACAGCACACACCATGAAAATACCGTGTTTCACTCACATGGATATTAAAAGACAGAAGTGCGCTATTTAACACTGAAATGCATGTCAGAATCACTTGAAACAATGTGGACATTTAATTTAGCTGGAAATAATCTCAGCTGCTGACAGGGCATGATCTGGATATGGCCGTAATATCACCACCAGTAGTTATGATGTGTGAGATTGTATGTACATTCTTCAAATTTTCACATAAAGTAGTAACTGTTAATTAGCATGTGTGTAGTCTGAAGTGTATTAAATGTGTTGTTTTCTTATGTTACAGGACATTCTTAATTTA